TACCTGCACCTTAAGTATGACCTGCTCTCACGCCTCACCTGTATCTGCAGGTATTTGAAGGCGTCTACAACAACGCGCGCATGCTTCACTTCCTCACAGCGGTGGTGGTGAGTCCGTTTCTGCCTTTTTCTTTCTGCTTGGTGTTTTTTGGCTGAATGATGCGCTGAAGCGTCCTCTCTGCTGCTTCCAGGGCTCCACCTGCGACGTGAGAGTGAAAAATGGTGCCGTGTACGAGGGGATCTTCAAGACGCTGAGCTCGCAGGTGACTCTTTTAAAACAGCTGATATTTTGACCTTCAGTGTTTTTGCTTCCCAGGGGTTCAGACACTCGGCTCTCTCCTGTCTGTGTCTGAGTCTGCTCCCGTTGGAGGTCTCTTCCTGTTAAAAGGGAGTTCTTCTTCCCCACTGTCACCAAGTCCTGCCCTTAGTGGGGGTTTGTCTTTACTTTGCAATTTGACGCAGTTCTGATGCATCAAACTGCCGTCTGTGAGGTCACGATTGCAGAAGCTTCACTGGTTAAATGGCTGTAATCTGTCTGCATGTGTCAGTGTGAGCTGGCTGTGGATGCTGTTCACAAAGTGAGTGACGGAGGAGGAGGAGGAGGAGGGGGCCAGGCCTCTGCTCCCAGGATCGAGGATGTTACTGACACCATGATCTTCAGCCCCGCTGACCTCGTCACTATGACGTGCCGGGACGTCGACTTGACCTTTGCCGTCAGAGGTAACCGGGCTCCGCCCACGTTTAGATTAGAGCTGCATCTATTTTCTTTAAAAACAAAGATCAGGATAACGCCGCTGATCATAACTGGGTAACGTGATGATCAGCGGCGCGTTAAATGGTTTGTGCGTCGATGCTGCAGAGATGAAGGATCTGAAGTAGTCGCACCGAAGCCTGATTTGTTTTGTGTCTGCAGACTCGTTCACGGACTCGGCCATCGGCTCGTCGCGGCTGAACGGGGAGCACCGGGAGAAGGTGCTGCAGCGGTGGGACGGGGATGGAAACGGAGACGGCTTTGACCTGGAGTCGGACACGGTGAGGAAGCTTTGAATTTACGAAGGGAAAGTTTTACGCTGACCCGCAGCACCCCCTATGCTCTTACTGACCTCTACTGCTGCCTCTGGTGGACGTTAGAGGAACTGCAGCTTCTCTCACAGCTGAACCGACGATTTCACAATAATTTCTCACTGAAATGTTTGAAAACCAACGACACAAATCAGATGGACTCTTACCTGTAAATGTCAAACGTGCAGTTTTATTAACAAATGAAGCAGAATTTTATTATTTATTTCAAACTGATGCTTTTGGCTCGTCAGCGCCGCCCTGCTGATTTTGAAGATATTTTCCTGTTGGGTTCACGTGGAGTACCTCGCTGAAATCGTCTCCGATTCATTCGTTTTTTTCCCCTTTGTGTCAGTCGAACGGCTGGGACGCCAACGAGATGTTCAAGTTTAACGAGGAAGCGTACGGCGTGAAGTCGACCTACGACTCGAGTCTCTCCATGTACACGTAAGCAAACAAACCTTTTCAGCTTCACCAGCTGCGTCTGCCAGACGTGAAATATAAAAATGTTCACATGTTGTGAAGCGTCGGCTGCCACAGATTTTAAATGAGGGTCTCTCCTTCCTTCTGTCACGCTTTTCCCAGCATGCCTTTGCAGAGGGGGAACTTGGAGGTGTACCGGCAGCGGGAGGCGAGGGCGGCGCAGCTAGCCAGTGAGATCGAGAGCAGCCTGCAGTACCGCCGCCGCGTCTCCTTGGAGAACGACGAGGGAAGGAGCGAGGAGGACAAGTACAGCTCGGTGGTCCGAGAGGAGAGGACGAGCCCTGGGTTCAGCTCCACGAGCAGGTAACGGGAACGCGGCGCACCTGGCGAGGCAGAAAATAATAAAACATTTTAAAAGTGACAAACTTTGCCTGAATTTACCTCAGAAATTCCCAAGAAGTTTTCCCGACCTGAAGCTGCTCTCGCTTCCTGTTTCCCAGGGAGGCGAAGTACGTCCCCCTCCCTCAGAGGGCTCGAGAGATTGGCCCGTCTGCCAGCAGCGTCAGACCCGCGGCCTCCGGCCGAGCGGCGCCGCCTCCCTCCAGACACCTCCCGCCCAGCTGCTCCTCCCCCAAACCATCCTCTGATAGGAGCAGCCCCATGTCTGTCAGGAGCGCCTGCTCTCCCAGCCAATCACGGAGCAGCCCGCCCGCCGCCAGCAGCCCGCCCCACACCAACAACGTTCTTCCACACTCGCGCTCGCACCCGCAGGCGCTAACCGACACCTCGCGCTCGTCCGTAAACGGCGGTACGAAGCTTCTGTGTGTGTGGAGCAGCTCCCTCTTGTGGTCACATGATGCACTAACGTCTGTTTGATCGTCTCCTTCAGTTTCATCCAGAATGTCTCCGAAATCCCTGCAGAGATTCCAGAGCAACAGAACGCTGCGGAGCCCCAACTCCCAGTCCACGCCAGCAGGTACCGCACGAGCACACGCATACGCACGCATGCACACACACACACAAAAGGGAATACAAGCTGAGCTTCCTCCTTCCTTCCTCCTGGACGCTCACCTGTTCCTCCTCTTCCTCGTCCTTCAGCATCTCGTGCTCTGAAACCAGACGCCCCTCCCCAGGATCCTCCGTCTGTCGACCCCGGTTCCTCCTCCCTTTCCACTGTCACCATGGCGACCACCACCAAACCCACTGGCCCCACCCCCCTCTTCCCCGTGGACGGTGAGCTGATGTTTGATTTGTGTCGCGTGCAGCGCCGCGTGCGTGTCGCTCACGCTGTGTGAAACCTGTGCTAACGTGTTCCTCTGCAGTGAGCGAAGTCCTGGGCAACGCCGCCAAAGAGCCGCCTGAAGGTCCGCCCACTCCACAGGACGCCAAGAACAGCAAAGGTACAGAAAGCTCCACCCACCTGCCCCTGCCTGCGTCTGCCCTCCTCACGCCGCCTCTCTTCCTGTTCGCAGCTCCGTCCGTGACGCAGAGGTCTCAGCTGGAGGAGCTGCGCAAGTTTGGCAAAGAGTTCAGGGTAACCACGGTGATGTCACATGATGTCACGTGTTGTGATGTCATTTTAAAAAATGACAGAAACGTCTGCAGCCGTTGGTCTCACCTCGAGGTCTTCCTCTTTGTCCCTCAGCTGCAGGCGAGCTCCTCCCCTTTGGCGAGCCCCGCCTCTGTAGACCCCCTTCAGGACAGCCCCACCCCGTCCACGGAGTGTTCCTCCTCCTCCTCCTTGTCGTCCCCCAGCCCACCGAGGCCTGTCATGGCTACAGAGGTAGCTCCACCCATCTCGGCACCTGCTGCCCTGCTGCCTGCAGCTCCGCCCGGCCCCCGCTCGCCGACCGCGACCCCGATCGGAGGAGAGCTGAGCGGCGAGCGAGCGGAGACGGCGACGCCGACTGCTGCGTGAGTGAAGCGAGTAGCAAATGTAAAGACGCTGTGATGGCGCCGTGACACGTGTTCACGCGTCTCTGTGATGTTTTCAGGCAGGTGAAAAACTCGACGCTGAATCCAAACGCCAAAGAGTTCCTCCCCGTGAAAGGAAACGCGGTAAGTCCTCACAGGTCGCGCCCCAATCGTGTGCTTCGTGCAGACTTCTCAAACACGCCGCTCGTTGTGACTTGCAGAAACCCGCCTCGAACCCCGTCCCGCCTCGGCCGACCCCGCCCAGCCCCGCGCTGGTCCTCCCAGGCCCGGGACAGCCAGGAGGAGGGGCCATCTACAGCAGCCCACCTGCACACTACCTGTCCTACATCTCCCCCCTCCCCCTGCAGGGACACTCCATCCAGGTGTGTTTTTATTTAACTGTCTCAGGGGGCGGGGTTAGTGACCACACTGATGTAACGGCGTCCTCGTCTCCTCCTCAGGCTCCGCAGCTGTATCAGTACACCGTGTCGACCATCAGTCAGGGGAAGTACGCCAGACCCAAAGGTACACGCCGCACTCACGCCTTCACGTCCCTGTGAGGACGAAACGGCGCTTTTCTTTTCCTGCGCCGCTTCCTCCAGTTCAGATCAGGACGCCGTGCGTCTGTTAGTCCTGCAGTTTGATCGTTGGACGTTCAGATTTATTGAGGTTGAGTTCAGTGATCATGGTGTACGTTAGTGACCTCGTGGGTTCTTCTGCTCCAGGGTTGGTCGGGGGTCCGCGCCCGGAGCACCACGGCTCCCCGGCCTCCTCCATGATCTCGGCCTCGGCAGCGGCGCCCCAGCTGGTGGCGTCTTACCCCCAGTCCTACCTGCAGTACAGTCAGGTGATCCAGGCCTTGCCCCCACACTTCCACGGACAGGTAAGTGCAGCGTGCTCTTCACCTGTCGCTGAACCAGGTTCCTGTGAGCTGTTATCGTGCAGTCGTCACAAAACGCCGGCCGCTCGCTTACTGCTGATGTGTCTGCGGCGTTTACGGAAACGTTTACAGGAAGTTCACGTTTCGTCTGTTGTGCTGACTTTGTCCTCTCTCTTCAATCACAGCCGATCTACTCGATGCTGCAGGGAGCGAGGATGCTGACCTCCGGGGCCGCTCAGCCGCTCGGGCCTCCGGGCCCCCAGTTCCCCGGGCAGGCTGACGGCCCGCCGGGCCCCCAGCAGGCCATGTACGGTAAGAGAGCTTCAAACACAAATTTATCTCCTTTTGTTTCACATGCAGCTCAGAGTTGCTGCTGAATAACAAGTAAATATTTACTGTAAAGAAGAAGATTCAGTCTGAACGTGTCTGAACAGGACGTTTACAGACTCTGAGGATCTTCACAGACGACTCGACGTCTTTGTGCTTCACACAGATTCGAGAGCTCCGACTGTTCGACCTGTTTGTTCGACTCCTCTGAGATGATGCTGACATCAACACATCAGGAATAATATCAGAGTAGAGATGAGCTCAAATACACACAGAAGAGTGTAGGCAGGGTGGGGACGAGTGTTGGCGTGACAGATGGTGTCAAAGAGCAGGTTATTGTGAGAACCCCACCCAGTCAGGTGCTTCACCTCCTCCCTACAGTCTCTCACTGTGGTGTTGGTGGAGAGAGGGGGTTCAGGAGGAGGGTGGAGGAGACCTGTTGGGGTTTCTGTATCAGGATCTGGGCTGACCTCGTCAGTCTTCACTCTCAGAGCATCCAGGGGCCAGACTGGACCCTCAGACAGGCCTCGTCCGGGCTCTGGGCCAGATGTTTCACACCCCTGGAGGAGTTTGGTGGTTGTGTCGTCTGCATAAAGACGTAAACATTTACAGGTCGTGCAAAAAAAGACGTTTAAACTAGAGCTGCGTGTCGTCACTGCTTTCTAGATTCAATTCGATTTGAATCTGGGAAATTTTGACAGTCAGAAATATTATAATTCAGATCAGAACATTTACATATTTTTGTATCTATGAAAAGGAAGCTGACACTTTCCAGACTTTATCAAAGGTGTGAGCATCACAGCGAGGCCTTTGTGTCAAAGTAGCTGAAGATAAAACAGAAAAACATGAAGG